CCAAGATACATTCCTATTGCTTTCGATGAAAATGTACCATCGTCTCTCTCCTCGAAACACGCGGTGTAGAGAAATGTGTAATGGAGGATTGATATCAGGAGAAACCAAATGACGTTGTAAATTGTGCCGTGATAAGAAGAGTGGAATGAGATAATTATTTTTTCTTTTTGTTTAATGCCAATGGGTGTCTCTGATCTGACAAATTCGATGGGAGCTAATCCGAAAAATCGAAAGACTAGAAAAATTGATCTGATAATCCACATACTGGGCACTGATATTTTTTCTGCTTTGAGATTCATGACTGATTCTGCAATGAGGACGTACAGAAATGAGAGAGAATTAAAATCGGATTGATTTCAAACTGATGCAAGAACAATCCATTAACTATTATCGCATGAACGATCGTATTCATCCTTGGGGAAGGGTTTCGTGTTATGCGATGTAATTGATTATGTGTCAATTTGAGTGGTTGATTTTTCAATTGTTGTGAGTCAGCATTATTTTTTATTATTGTTTCTTCAGCTTGAGTTCACTCGATGCTAATTGGAATTGAACAAAGATGACGAGATATGTTGTGATTGTGCTGACTATCTGAAATAATTGCAATACCAGAAATAATATCGGTTTAATTAATATTTTATTGAGAGATTAAACTAGTTACCGATTTTAGAAGGGAGCAATCGATGGGAAATATTCCGTAAGCCGTGAATTCGAAATCCCTGTGCATCAAATCGATGATGAAATTTTTCAGCTGCAACGAGATATCAAAATGAGAATAGAAATTGAATTGAAAGATTTTTTTAATTACTTCGGTCTTTATTTCCTTATTTGCAGTGAACCTTGCCAGCAATGTGTGAGTGATATCGGATGTTATTCGCATCTGGAAAAATGGAAAAACCTTGAAGAAAAGGCGAGCGAGATATGATAACACTCACCTGTACATGAGTTTTCCGAACATTAATTGTTAATAATAAATAAGGCAGAATCCTGGCGAACATGAAGAGTAATTCAGAGACGAATCGTGATGTCAGATTTGCATTGCTCAAGCCTTTAGCAAAATTGATGAACGTGACATAGAGAGTATAAAGAAGGGTTACGGAAATGTTGATAACCAAGAAAATCAGCAGTGGTGCGTAAAAGTTTGAGATATCAGAGCAGAGTCCATAAAATTTCAGATAAATTCGTTTAATGACAATAATAATGACGAGAACCGATCGCTGTTCGACAAATGGCAATCGATTGCTGGGATGTCTCAGAGACAAAAGGGCTTTGTTCAAGCTCATCAATCGTCTCTCTATGATAAATACAACGAAAGAATATTGCAGGACGTAAAAACTGAAGACGATGGAGTTAAAGACGACCAGAGTCATGAAGCCAGGAAGATCATCGACAACGATTAGTCTCGTTACAAGGAATATCACCGTGGATGTGCATTGCAGAGCAAGCATGAAGAGTATGTAAGTTTTTCCAGTTTTTGGTTGATAGACACCTCGCAGTTGGCTCAACGCAGTGTCTAATTCGATTATTTGATTGCCGAGATCGATGAGTTTTTGCTGGCGTATGCAGAATGTCAGGAAGAGAATAACGAGGCAGATGTTCGCGCACAGTATCATGGTGTTTCGGAATATCAGTGATACTGGGGATTGATCCACAGTTATTCGTCCGGTGATCTGTGGCATGTCTTGATAAGACACCACAAGGACGCCTGTGATAAGGCTGAGGTTGTACGCTACACCCAGCCATGACCACCGAAGGCTCAACCTCGATATCTTCTTCTTTGGATTCCACTGGTCCGATATTTGATCCTTAGATATCGTCATTGGTGCCATTCCCAGTAGCCGGAACGTCAGCAATATAAACTTGATGGCGAACATTTTTTTTTGTCACTGGAAAATATCAACCGCACACGCCAGGTACATGTGACAAGGCATGAATCGATACTGTCATTAGTGATGAGTTTTTATTCATTTCGTGAAGTGAATCCATTCAGTTGATTAGAAATTGTATCGCAATAATGGGATTCGTAATCGTCACTCGATTGAAAATTGTATGAGGATTATGAGATTTGTCATCACGACACCAGCAATCTGCAATAATAATTGATAATAAAAAATCTAACTTGTGAAATTGAACGGTACCAACCGAACCCAGTAATGAATTATCGAGTGGAAACATGTCGTAGACACTCAAGTGGAAGTTCTTCATCAGAACTTGTCGGGAGAATCCCTTCAACTGTGAAGGAGAGTTGAATGATTATCACAGATTTAAATAAAAAAGACAAGCACATACCTCAGCTAATGATTCTGATGGTAATGCACAGTTGTCCAAGAGTAAGTGGATAATGTTCGCTGTTTTCTTGACAGTTCGCGTTATTTTAGTAACACTAGTCGTTAAAATTAAGAAACTTGATATCTGGAGTGCTAACCA